TACGAAAAGTTTAAGTTTGCTTTTAGTCGTTGGCTATACAGCGCTAATTCGTAAAATAATAACGCAAAGTTTCCAAATTTTAGTCGGAAAAGTGAAGTTGTGATTGAAAATAAGTGAAGTTGTGTGTAGTCGAAGTAAACCAGCGATCGCATGACCTCTTCAATCATTTTTCTAAGTCTGCTTCTTTCACTCATCACAAACTCGAAAAAATTAAAAAATTTCTGACAACAGCTGCTTAGATCAAGCTAGAGCAGTTAGTGCATTTGCAGATGAAAATTTTGCCAAGTATACTTTTGTTACATGCAAAGTAGTCATTTTATCATTTGATCACTTTTACTTTAGTTTGCTCTACTCTTACTTAGTATGTGGTAGTAAAATAGAGCAATCTAACGAATCTTTTGACAAAATATTTAAGAAATAAGAAATCAATCTTTAGAACAATCTCTTTTCAATCGCAATTTTGATTTAGTAGCTTTAAAAAAAAATTGCCATGTAGAAAATACTATACACACATATATACATAACTGATATAACAGTTATGTATATATGTATGTATTTATATAAATGAATAATCCCACTAAGTACTCGCTTCAAAAAAGAGTTTGATTAAGCAGGCATAAAGTATCAGCATACAAAATAGTTGGATATTATTTATCTATTGCAATAAACTATGCTGACTTTTGTATGCTTAAAAAAGGTGAATTAAAATATAAAGCACAAAATATATTTAATGGAAAAAATACAAGAAGTTGTGCCATTAATAAAAATAAAAGACTTTGTAATTGATACAAACGATCATTTTGTCAAAATATGCAATACACTTTAACTGATGTGAATAAAAGATTGCGTGATAGGATTTAAAATGTGAGCAAATAAATGAAAAATTATATATGAACGTTGTATAAAAACTAGCAATCATTTTCAAAGCATTTATATCAATCAATCATTTTCACATGTCAAATACTTCCAATTGCTAGTACATCCATCAAAAAAATAAAAGCTAAAATAGTTATTTAGTCATTTTGAAGTGTTATTATAGAGTAAACTAACAACTTTATGCCATTTACTGCTTCAAAAATTAATTTTTGTATTCATTTCTTTTTCATTTCAAGAATCCGAGATTTCAAGAATATGTGCAAGATTCATTACACTTCACTTTTTAGAAGTCATCGTCGTTTACCAGACTTTTATTTTCATCATACAATACATTATTAATAACTACGAAACATTTAAATATTGTTGAGCAACAAGATTTTAAATAGTGCATTACAAATTGCTTCAATTTAAAGCTGAAATCACAAAGCAATATATCATCTTGATTAAACTACATGACTGATTTTTTTCTCGCCAATTCAGATATTATTGAAAGCAATTTTTTGATTTTGATCGATAAATTCACGTTTAAGTCATTTTTTGTTTGTGGTAATGTGAAGTGAAAAAGAAAAAAGCAAAGAATTTAAAATGAATTAGCAAATAAATTAAACTCTTTACAAATTTTGAGTGAAAATTTATCAGTTTGCCAAGTCACATAGCGCATCCAGCTAACTAATTAAGGATATTTGAAGCAAAAAATTCATTGATAATTAAAGTTAATAATTCTTGCACGAAAAATTTGCAGTGCAAACAGAATTGAATGTTATCTTTTTTATCACTGCTGGTTCATCAAGGTACCTCACTAATTGCAAATTCATTATTTTAAAGCAAATAATGAAGTTTGTGGGCAAATAATTAATAGTAAACAGTAAAACAATTCTAGCAAATTTTCAGCATATTTTGCAATATTTAAATCCGAAGAAAATGCTGCAAGATAAAAATGCTTTAATGAATGCTGAAATTAATTTTTGTTTCCATCAAAAATAGTAAGGTAAACAAAGTTTGCGAAGGAACACTGAAAGTTGCTACGTAAAGACAAATAATTCTATTATTCACTCACTTCTCATAACTACGAAAAAATTGTATTCAATCTTTTTTTATAACTACAAACCGTTATATGAATTATATTTGTCATTTCTTGTCTATTATTATCGGTTTTTCTTATTCATTGAATAATCATGGAAAGTTACAAAAAAGTCATTTATCTGTCTTTAAAAATCAGATTTTGAGAAAGTTTGCGGAAAAGCTTCTCAGAATTGAGCAAAATTAATACCAATAACTCTTTTTTTATCTGATAACAAATATTGTATTTAAAAAATTTTTAATGTTTAATGCGTTTTTTATTATCGATCAGGGGCTCCAGTAAACTGCCTCTTTTAAGAGTTATTTAAACCTTTGCAAAGAATTTTCTGTAACTTAAAAAAATTACCAATAAAATTACTTTATTCTGTGGAATTTAAAAGATAACAAATGCAGGCAATGATTTTGAAATGCAAACTCAAATATCTTTTTCAAAATCAATTCAACGAATTCATAAAACAATGTAAAATAGAATGTGAAGTCAGTCTTGCGGTTATGTGAAGTCTTTTGGTTATGTGAAAGTTGCCTTTCATATGTTAATTGAAAACTAGAAATCGAATCAAATCGAATTACACGGAATAAAAATAAAATTAATGTAAATTTCATTTTTTGAATAATGACGTGGTAATTTTTAAAACTTACCATGTTCTTCTTGTAGCACAAATTATGTGGATTTTATGATTCAACACCACATATTAAAACATTTCTAGTCCCTCATGAAATTTATATTATCACGTCAAATTACCTGTTTCACTACTACTAATGACGGATTAAGTTTACATTTGCTAATAGAAAAACTTGATATAACGAATCAATTGAGAATTCCAAACTTGACAAAAGTTTGGTCTTCAATCATCTTACAATAACAATTCGTGCTTGCAAGTAATGGACTTAAGTAGTAACTATGAAAATAGCAGAGTATTCACAGATTTTATTACTAATATTTTATTTTCTCTCCTTCTTGTTAATAATAATGATAATAGTTATAATTATATTATGATTATAATTATAATAATTATTAGTAGTGATAGTAATAATGTTTATGTTGTTAATCTCATAATCATTAAATTTTTCTCACAAAATGATAATAAACATTCTTGTTAACAGAAAAATGTTAAGTTGTAGAGTAAGTTTTGAACTTAAAAATTAGCGGCCACAATGACGTTTAATTTTTTTCAAATGAACTATTTTCTTGATCGATGGAAAGTAACGGTTCAGAAATGAGTCAGAATATTTTGAATACTTATTGATTATTATATGCAAGAAATATGATTAAAGCAAAAAGAGTTCCACGTAAGCAACCATTTTCTTCTTACCTTTTTTCTACGTGAAACACTTATTCACCTGATCAAATTTTGATGTACAATACTTGCAAACTTTATTTCTCCAAAAATTAAAAAAATTTTCATTATTTTTAGTACTTCGTTATCGTCTAGTCTTCCTATCTGGTAATATTCCAAAGAAATTTCACGACAAGAAAAATGCTAACATTACAAGTTTTCCTGTAGGTACATTGACGGTTTGTTTACTTTTGCAAGCTGAAACCCTTACATTCTTCTTTTCTTGCTTATATCACCAGTCAATAAATAGTAGTTAGCAATGAAAATGAACTAGCAATCTACCTGCGCATTATTTCACAGGTCAGGCCAAATATCGTTATTTGCATTTATTAAATATACATTATATTCTAAATATTAATAAATTAAGCAATAGGTGAAATCAATCAAATTTCATTTGTTGAATGTATCAAACACTTTTTTGTAAAGACTTCTAAATATGAATCGTTCTTATTTATTTGCTACATTCATTCTTAAGATACGTATTGCAGCTAGAGAGCTCATCATGTAACCGTAAAATTCTGTTGGCTAGTTTATTACTTCTCAATCAGATTATCAGATCACTAATGAATAAGTTATTAAATCAGCGACGGAAAAGTAATTAATTTATTTAGTTATCCTGTGATCATTTTTAGAAATTTATATTTTTTACTCTAGATTTTTAATGATCTTTCTATTATTTTGTACATGAAATTATTTTTAATTAATCATTAATGAACGTATATCTTCTCTTATTTTCGTTTAATTACTTTATCAATACTGCTTTTAATTTTAGTGGTTAATTTACCATTTTGTATATGTGAATAAATTAATGGATGCTATCTAAACACAATAATTTTATTACAGAAGAAACAAACTAAGTAATCAAGAATAGATCTTCGATTTTTCGTCATTATTACTATAACTTATATCTGCTAAATGGCATATAACAGTAATTACAATTATGAAAGTAGTTTTACAACGACTCACTCCAGTGGTTACTACTTTTACCAAGTTTGTTTTTTTGACTTTAGTTTAGTGTTGTTCTCATTTTTGTGATTGTGAAAATAAACTGTTAAATATTATGCTGACAAAAATTTATTACAGAATCATTTCGTATATAAATTACAAATTAGTTTGTACTACTAAGGAAGAGATTCGCTAATAAAATATCAAGTCTCAACTAGTTGTGGAATTAATTCTTAAGTTAGTTAGTTAGCATAATTCCCACATTGGGATAATAAATCTGTCAAATATGATTTCAAGTTTTCACGCATTCCTCGCAGTTCAGTTGTCTTTTTAAATTACTTTTAGCCATAGTTTTAATTAATATGCTTGCATAATATGATGTATAATTATTACGGAAATTATTAATTGAAACTGCAAAACAAATTTTTCAAGTATTATTCTTATCTTAGTTGGATCATCCATGAACGTTACTTTGAATTATTATACTGCTATAATCAGTATAACGTACACAAAAACATGAATTCCACGCTTATTAAACTTCGTATAGCTGGGACAAAAATTAGAGTAAGCATATATGAGACAAAGTTGATATCCGACTCCGTAATAAATATATATTCTGACGCTTAGTTTCTAATTTACCTAATTCTTAAAACTACAATCTATTTATAAACAAACAGTTAGACCAAGCTCTTGTCTTTTTAGATAGCGATAATATTTGCAATTGTTCTAGTGGGTGTGTTAATCTTAACGATATCTGCAATAATGGTTTACTTCGGATGCGTGAAAAAGGTTCGCGCCACAGGCAAACACACACTTCTGCAATTTTGTTATTTGTTCATTACCAGAAAAGCTAAAGCCAACTTTTTTGCTTAGTAATTTTCAAACTAACTCAATTTTCTTAAATGAAATGCATAATATTAAACCATTCAAGTAAAATGAGGGTTAAAATTGAGGTATTTGATAATTATTTGAAAAGTATGTGATGGATGATAAATAGAAATTAGGAAATTTATTCCAGGGAGTATAACATGAAAAAAAACGTAATATTCGTCAAAAAAAATTAGCTTACAGAATTAAATTTAATAATTTTAGTTTCTAAAAATTTTAATTTTTTAAAGTATTCTTAGATACGAATAACCGAAAAGAAAAGACGCGCGAGTTGTTCGACGTCAACACGAATGAGTAGTACAGAACGAGCGCCAACATTCACTTCCACGTCTCTTAAAAATGGAAAGCTGCTATTTCCCATGGAGTAAGCTAGTTGCTCATATGCTTAATTAGTCAATTACTTAGGAATGTTGCTTTATTTAGAGACGTTTTTTAATGCATGTTCAAAATTAGAAAAATATTTGGATTTACCTCATTTCAATCTCCTTTATCATTTCCTTCTACAATCTAATGCACTGGTCAGATAATTTTTCATTTTTTAAAAACGTGTTCTTTTCAAAATTTTGTCTTTTTACTTAGCATTTTACAATTTTTCAGATTGCCACGAAACTTGGAACTTTTCATGTTGGCATTTCAATTTGCTTAAATTAGAAGTTTCAGGATTTTAAATTTAACTTTTAAATAAAATTTACTAATGAAAATCATTCAAATCATTGTACTCGAAGAAATAACGTTTACAGAGATTAGATAAGAGGTTAATTGATCATCATAATTTGAAGTCATGATGCAGAAAACCATTCGGTTTCCGAGCATTTAGATAAGTTTAAAGATGATTTCAAAAAACTAACGAATTTCAGGAAACATCGTTCTGCTTACTCTCCCGAACACGAAACGCCAATTCTACAATCATCAATGCATACACAGGAGGCTTATGTACCTCCACCTCCAACGTATGCTATTCAACAAACTGACTATCGGAAACATCAACGGGAAACATCTAGAGGCAATTATTTACACACAGATTTGATCCGGAATACTCAATCCCGTAAAGTAAGTCTGAAAGACACTAATTGCAATTACCAGTTTGCCTAAAATCAACTTTTACTATGAGATGCCTAAAAATAATTAGCAGCTCACTTTTGATTGACAAATTATTTTTAGCACTAGAATCACAATTTTTGATGACCTACGAAAATATGAAATTTTAAAAAGTATAAAAAACACTTTTTTACATTTTCATTTCAATAAAATTTTTTAAACTTGAACAAAACATTTTCTAAATTTGAACACTCGCAACCTGACTGCACTCAGGTCACGTTGAGCGTCTGAATGCTATGAAAATAAAAAAGATTTATAGCTCTGCACACAAGGACTCGTAAAAATTTAAAAGAATTTTAGCCTCTCCCTTTGAAATGTAAATCGTAAAATGAATAGTTTTTATAAAATATTCAAAAAATTGTCTGAATCTTAATTTATCTGATTAAATACAAATAAAAGTCCGATTAACAATTGTATAATTAATCCAGGGCTCAATGGTGCAACATGAAGTGGCTGGCAGGGGAAGCAGAGAATCTGAAGATCATTCCATGATGCCATCATTTGTATATCACACATCTTCAGTTTAAATGTCTGACAGAGAATGATATGATTAACACTGTGAGAAACAATTCGAATAACAATTAGAAATTGGTATACAGTTAGAAATGTTTAAAGAACGATGACTGGATGATTTGAAACAAATGAAAACAAATGATTGGACTTGAATGATAACAAAATTATCAACATAATTAGGTTCTGAACTGAGATAGGTAATTCTTCAGTTTGCTCTTTATACTTTTCCATCGTACTGTAACATATTTGATTTATTTCTATACTTACATTTATATTTATATAGAATACTCACGTACCTTTTTGACTTATTCAATTCTTCTATATTTTATTTTCTCAAATTTATGCTGTTTTTGCTTTTATACTAACTATGCGAAATAATCGCCTAAATTTTTATGCATAGGCGCATTAGTCAAGCATCTACTTTACAAGTCTTAACATTTTATATATTCAATGGTTTCATTGTACATATGCTTAATTACTTTTTGTATTAAACAAAATAAATTTCAACTGATATATTTTGGTCAAAAATAATTTTGTTAAGTTCAGAAAATTCTACTGACTATGCAGTTTACTGAATTTGGAGCAAAATAATGACACAAAAAATTTCAAAAATATGAAGAATCCCATTTGATATTAGAATTGATCTTTCTTCTGTGTAATTTTGGAATCTAAAATAACATTAGAACAATATATTAAGTAAATAATTTTTATACTTTTGATTTGATATTTTTTTCCAAAGACTTTTCAAGATAGTACTTGATATTTTAAAAATAAATTCATAATTATAATTTGCTTTTTAAAATTGTAATTTAATTCATCGACCTAACAGCAGCAAATATTAATCATAATGCATTTGCTTTTGGCATAATAAAAAAGATATAACTGCGTGGTCATTCATTAATTACTACGACCCCTAGCGTGAAAATGTTTGGAAGTATTTGAAAATTGACTATTCTGTTCGATCTAGAATCTGCTCAGAGATCAATTTTCCTCTCAGAAAAACATAAAGCTAATAGTAAAAGTTGTTGAAACCTTTTGAGATTCAGTAATCTGCATCTGCGTTAAGCTTCTGAAATTTAATTTATATCAAAGTCTTATTTACGCATGAAAATTAGTATAGTGGAATTGATGTTATCTAGGTTTGATCATGTCAAAGAACAGTAGTTGCTGGGGACTTCAGGTTTATTTTTTTGGAATTATTAATGACGAGTGTATGTTAATAACGATAAAATGCAAAATCCAAAAAAGTGAAGTGCACTGCTAGAAATAAAAAATGCATTAACTACGTACTTTATTCTTCATTTAATTTTAAGACATATTTTCATATGTCTTAGAAAGTTGAAAGTTGAACATGATCTTTAGATAATATTATAAATTAATAGCTGAATGATAATAAACAGACAGAAGAAAATTGCTTACTACGGAAATTTTTGACGTTTTTAGAAATTGCACTGATGAAAAAAAAATACATTCGCAAAATCAATTATAAATAAGTATAAGTTTTCACTTAAAACTAGCGCCCATTATATTTCTCAAGTGGAAAAAATTATTAAGTTTTTGAGTTTATTATTTCCTTCCACCTCAGTAAATTTTATACGCTACAATTGTTTTTGTTGATAGAAAACAAAACAGCAAATTGAGTGTGAAAGTGCTAGAAATAAGATAGTTCGTGTAAAAAACCATTAATTGTGATTAAAAAAGTTATGATAAAAATTAAAATGTAAATAGTTGAAAATAAAATAAATAATGATGGTATTGAAAAATGCGTTTGTCAAAATTATAATCACATTTGCTCTCCATAGAATGCAACTTCTTTCATGTTATGATTGAGACTGAAGTAAAATCGTCTTGCAAAGTGAATCAAATTTTCAATATCTCCGAAATGTGAGAAATATAAATTTACGCGATAAGTGTAATTTAAAAAATGAAAGAAAATTGGCAGCCAGAAATTGGAAAACTTTGTATTGAGCAAAATTTCAAGAATTGTATACATTTGTAATGTAGGGAATGAAACTGGAATTGATTACTAATCCTGAATTGTGCCGAAAAACCAAAACGCTTATCATAGAGGCACTTCACATGTTATCAGTTGATAATTTTCAAATTCGATATGAAAATTTGATAATTGGAAATGGAATCTGAACTGTAATTGGGCATTAGCAACGATCTATCGATTGACAATTCAGCACATTTTCTATAGTGGTAATGTTTCGTCGTTGGTGAAAAATCTTCACCTTATGCCATTTTTCTTTTCCAAAGCGATGCTCACAACTTTTGGACGGGCATTTTTGCTTTTAAGAATATTTCCTTGCCTTCTATTTCACTTCACTTTCTGATTATTGGTATTCATACTAGTTTGTTTGGATTTCAATTCATTTCTAGTTTTATGTACAATTTTCATCTTTATTACTTCCATAAAATCTTTTTATTCAAATAATTGGTTTTTGCATAATTACTTGCTTTTATTTGAGAAAATTTCAGCTTTTCTCTCTTTATAATCTCCCATTTACACGCTTTCGCTATTACAATATTTAGTTGCAATTAAAAGTTACAAATTCCATATTCAAAAATTACTCAGCTTTCTATTATAATTTTCAAATGTTTTATTTTCCAATTCTGACATATGTTATAGTTGAATTATATACAGAATGGCGACAAATTGTTTTTGCTTCTATTCTAGCAAAAATATTTAATTACAATCAATAACATCACTTAACTTATATAGTTCATCTTTTTACTTCTTTTGAAGTTTAGAACTGCAGTGATGATTTCAACAATATTAAAAATGTCGTAGCTCAGAAGGCCAAAGGTCTTTGTGTTAAGGTAAATTAACTGCAACAGATTATTACCAGCAAATTCAAATCTAATTACTGTAATTGGATTTTCTTCAAATCTCTATCAAATGTGTCTTTTCAATAGTAAGATCGGAAAGGATTGCTTTGCGAATATTTTTGACAGACGAAATGGTAATTGAAATAAACATTTTTTGTTGGATCGATTTCACTCCGTTCATTAGTCACTTCTGAAATTTATTTTGCACGTAAGGGTTGTTCAATTGTAAAAATGATTACATTACCTCTCTGTTAAGAGCAAAAAAAAATTCGCAAACAAGACAAAGTAAAAATGAGATGGCAAGTGAAATAAAAAATGTGACGCAAAAATTAAAAAAAAAATGAAGACTTTAACCTACTCACATTCTATCTTGTCCAGCAAAAACTACTTATTAATATGCGATAAAAGTTAGTTTAAATTGTAATAATTCGAAAATACCTGCAAGGATTGTAAACACTAGAAATTTTGGCACGATGCGAGATGATTGAAGAACTTTGTTTCTTTATATGCTTTATAACGGAGTGACCTTTTTAAATCAGTTCAACTATTCAATTAATGTAAAACGAATTCTTAGATAAATTTAGCTATAGAAATTTGTGATTCAAAAGTAGCATTCCAAAAAAAGCCCTAAATAAGTGCAAAATAAAGTATATTAATTATTTTGACTGTAGTGTTTAAAAACAAGTGTAAAAAACATTGACTATTAAACGTAGGAAACGTTTATTACATTCAGGTTAATGAATTATTCATTGAATCCGTCCAAGGTAAACAAACAAAAGCATGAAGATCAATCTCTAGAAGTCACGTAGAATAATCTTTCTTATAATTTGCCATGTGTAGTGAGAAAATTTTGAAAATAGCAAAAATTTAGAATCAAATATTAAGTACAAATTTTTGCTGCTTTCTCAGAATTCTCATTACTAAAATGGGAATTAGCAAGACGAGAGTGTTTGTAACAAAATTCAAACCTCCGAATTTTTGTTACCAACACTTTCGTACTGCTAATACAAACAGGAGAATATTTATTATAAACATTTATGTGTGTTTTGATTCATTAATAGTACGATCTTGCTTAAGTTCAAAATCAGTCTCTTTATATTATCAATGATCTCTTTATATTTACATTTCTGTCTGAGAAAAAATTTTTGTCTTTTTGCACAGCAGTTTAAAATAATTAAATAAATGATATTAAGTATTTAATATAATTATAGGCTGACATTATCTTCATATTTTATAGTTTCATGACACTTCACTTTCGTTAAAGCTATATTTTTTCTCCTCAGACGAGAAAAATATTTTTTACGTAATGAAAAATACTATTTAGCATCTATTTTTATCTCAGATGTGGATGAATCTTACTTTATCCAATGAAAAAACAAAAACTAACCGATTTGCTTTTTGCATTTAAAAAAATTAATATCAATTTGAATATATCTGAATATGAAAATGAACTCGCAGATCAAAAGTTTCGCACTAAAAAGCAACCACAAATTGGAAATAATAAAAATTTAAAGGCACAACAAACTAAGTCTTCTAACAATATTTTGCATTGGACTTTCATTTCCGTAAAAGAATAACGTCATTGGAGATCTTAATTTGACGGAAAATCAGAAATTGAATATTTTAAAACATATAAATATTTTGATTTATATATATCATCTTAAAATAAAAAAACCTCAAAATATATACATATATTATATATATATATATATATATATATATA